AAACTGCTCCCATTAAAGTGCACACTGTTTTGGAGATCAGTGATAACGTTTTGCGATATAACCTGTGTTGTGAAAACCAATATAAGTGATAATGGTTTAACCTTAAAATCGTAGCATTGTTCAGGCTGGCCATAAAGTCAAGCTCATGCACAATCCAGACAGATTAGTTGCTTTCATTGCAAGCCCACATGAGCTGATAGTTCATCTGATATCCTTCCGTGCATCCCTCTGGCAAATCGCATATCTTGCGTGATATTTAAGCTGCTTTAAGCTGCACAGTTACTTGTGAACCTGCAAGCTGTTTTGCAACCCACCTCCACCCCAGCTTCACCTTTCCGGCTGTATCAGTGACAGTGTCTGTTATCACTGATGCATCCTCTGTTCTGTGTTGGGTCTTGCAGCTGTTCTCACCATCTACAGCTTTCCACATATACATATGAAATGGTGAGAAGACCCCAGAACACAGCTTAGTGCTGCCTTTTTTTGGCTAATTTTGTCTTGACTTCAGTCATTTTCTGGGGAGAAAAAAAATATCTACTTTCAGGTAGAGAAATAGAGCTTTATTTGTGAAGACTGCTAACATAGGGGCCTCAATCTAACCCAAGGTTTTAAAAAAACAAATCCTCCTTATGTAAAAATTACAATTAACTGCAAGGAGCTGAGGCCAGGCAGGCAGCAAGAATCCAGGAAGTTACAGTTACTCAGCGTTTCTCTCTGATTTCTCAGACCTTCCACTGATTTAGTGCTCTGACGTTGGACTCGTCTCTGCACTTGTCCTGCTAGACCTCAGTGCTGTGTTCAATACTGTCGACCACAATAGTTTATTACAGAGATTCATGTCATAAGAATTAAAGCAACTGCACTGCAATGGTTTGAATCATGTCTATCTAACGAGCTCTAATTTGTTCATGTAAATGACGAGTCCTTACACACACAGGTTAATTATGGAGTTCCACAAGGTTCTGTGCTAGGACCAGTTCACTCTACATTATTATGCTTCCCCCAGGCAGTATCATCAGTATCAGGCAATGCATACATTTTTATTGCTATGCAAATGATACACAACTATGTCTGTCAAGGAAGCCAGAAGACACACACCAAATAGTTAAACTGCAGGCGTCTCAAAGACACAAAGTGGCAGTTTTCTAGCCTGAGGAAACATGGGCTGGAAGTCATGGGAGAGCCATGAATCAAACTCAGCCCTGCCAAGTCATGGACAACCATCGTATGTTACATAACTTGCACATGCATTAAGTATAACCTGCAATAAAATGACCAGATTTTAGGTTAAAGTGTTTTTAATTAGACTTGACAAGTGTTTTTGTATATGCAGTTTATATGTCACTATCCATTTTGAGCTACTAAGACGGCTCCCAAGTGACACAATTTGTCTCGAAGGACAAACTGAGCTACCGATGGCTAATGAATCTGTTCACCAGTAAATAAATCTATTGTACAAAATATGGAACTAACTGGGCAAAAGCTACTAATGGAAAAAATATGCATAAGAAAATAAAGTGAACCAGCTCTGGCATGTCATCTCATACATTAAACAAAAAAAAGTTCAGCCCTCAAACTTTTAGTGCAATCAAAATAAACCCAATTACAGAGTTAAAGAAATGACTTGGGTATTCACCCACACATGCATCTACTGAGACCAGCAAAATGTCATTGTGTCATTGTGTACCCTAACTAATGCAATCCTTTGGAGGGCACTCGGCCCTTTGACAGCAAATCGTCTCAGGAAGTCACAGTCAGGATGCTCAGGTCAGTATGCGTTTGCATGTCATGTTTAATGTACAGCAGTAAGAGTGGAATATTCCATATTCCTTATAGAAAAGCAGCCTGGTCATTTTCCATGAACTTGTAGTTACATGGTCTCTCTGCTTTTTTCCAGCATTTCCTATCGCTTCTCCTCCCATGTGGCACTCTGTTTTGAAAAACAAAATGTCCAATGCTGATAACTTTCCTGATGACAAGCTAGTTTGCTGACAAAAAATAAGAACATTACATCTCATTTTTCTCTCTCTCATCAAAATATTTTCTCCAAAAACCATCAAGTTTTCAGCACCCACAGTTCAAACAAACACAGTGGCTACATTTCATTTGTTTGCCTGCGATTTTGGCAAGGTTGTGTGGTAACTTAAAGCCCTCCGAGCCTTTTGGCTATCACCCTTCGAATCTTTCAAATCAGCGCCTCCGTCCTTTACAATTTCCTCTTGCCCAAATTAATCTTCCTCGATGTGGAGCGGAGTACACACACATACACGTGAGTGAGGCGTGCAGCTAACCTGTGCTCTTAGTTTTATGCAGAAGAAACCCACAGCGCCAAAATAAAGTGTCCTGAATGCACACTATGCTGAGGACACGGAGTTCAAGAGATGGCACAGACCCCAGGGGGTGATTAGTGGGGTGCAGACAGGCACTGGGAGGCGGTTGGAGGTTAGATTGGCAGGCGCTTACGTCTCCCCCGACCTAATAACTCCCAGCTGTGCTCCTCTCAGTGTTTATGTTAGAGGAGTTCCACTGCAGACCTCGCCATCGTGTCTTACTGGAAACTTCTGTCATCATGATTTCTCTTAGCACTCTGTGTTTATGTGTTAGCTCTGCATATTCTTAAGTTGCCTGTCTCTCTTTTTTCTTGAACTTTATTTCCCAGCCCTCTCACTGCATCTAATTTTCTATCCCTCCCACACATGCACGCTCACTCATTCACTTCTCTCTCAGCCTTCCTCCTCTCCTCCGTTCTGTCATTTTCTTGTTAATTCCCTTTGCCTACATCCCAGGATAGTAATGCATTCGATATTGCAAATATTTTTTCTCTCCCTTGGACAGTCCGCCCCAGCTGCCCAACCCAGGCACTTCCTCTCCAGCCAGGAAACAGAGGACTGTGAATTATTCCATTGTTTGTCAGTTCTTACTCCCTTCTCTTCTCTTTCTCCCTCCATCTAATGGCAAGCTGCCCAGATCACTGCTGCCCTAAAGAATTCTGCGCCTGAACTGAAATTATATGTTGCCATCTTTGTTATTTTTGAGGTCTTTCTTGGTGTGAACTGCTGTGGAGATTCATGTTCTCGGGAGCCGTTTGCGTTAATGTCCAGGAAGTTGAATGGAAATGAGTGACGAGTTAGAAAATAGGGGAAAAAAAAGAAAAGAAGAAGCTGTCATCAACCATCATCTCCTGTTAACACACCATACTACCTTTGTCTCTTTTCTCTCTCACCCTGCCCACATGCTCCATATGTATTTATAGCCGGCGCAAGCTGGACCGTGATCTTAGTTTTTGCATATGCAGTGAAAGCAAAAGGCTTCTCAAGTTGCGTAATGTGGCTGGAGCTACATCATGTGAACACAGCGTGTGTACATTATGTGGACTCCAGCTCAGCCTGTCTGTTATCTCAACGCTAATATCAGCAGGGGTTATGGAGCTGGCCATCCCTCTCGCAGCACATTTCTCTCCTGGGTGTGTAGGAGGGTAAATCAGCATGATCACACTGTAGAACTCAAGGCACAATTATACAGGTTCTATAAATGTCTTCACCCAGGCTATTAGTCAGAGATATGCTGCAAATGGACATTTTCAGTCCAGATTGAAATCTTATAATAAAATCAGACATCCTATTAAACGAGTGAATGGTGATACATGAAAAGGAGGTTATTGTTATGTTAACCAACAAAAAAATCAGCCGGAACTATTCAAAACGTAACGCGGTGAGTATGATTAAATTACGACTGAATTTAAGCATCGCTTTTTATGTATAAAATATTCACACAGTGGAGAGGAAAGTTGGTGGAGCGTGTTTAGTTACCGGCTTCTGAAAATCATCACATGGTCTGCAGAAAGGAGCGTGTTACTTTGATGGATTACATCTTTTTTTACATTTACATATGAACCACTGTACATATATCCCTACATAAATACCACTGCTGTGATGTAACTTCTCTGCAGACCAAACATCAGCTGCGATTGATCTCATCTCTCTCTCTGATGCTCACATGTTTTATTGTTCACACTTTTTATTGTTTTCTGACATCATGAACTGATAGCTGTTGGCAATTTATATTTTTTCACTTTTTTTTCTATTCCTATGGTATATACACTCACGAGCCATTTTTTTAGGTACACCTGTTCAACTGTGTGTTAACACAAATGCATAATAATTAGCCAATCACATGGCAGCAATAATAGCGTTGTGGATATTTTCTTGGCCCACTTTGGGACCCCTTAGTACCAACTGTCCATTTGTTAAACACCACAGCCTATATGAGCATTATAGCTGACCATGTCCATCCATTTATGACCACAGTGTACACATCTTTTGACGGCTGCTTCCAGCAGGATAACACCCCATGTAACAAAGCTCAAATCACCTCAAATTGGTTCGATAGTTGCTTCACAGAAAGAAAGCCATAGCTGATGTTGTATTTCCTGCATGAAGAAAGCTGCGTTACGATACAGCAGACCGTTGCTGGTTGTAACCACTGTCTGATCCTTTAGCTGTGTCATTGAAGTTTAAATGTTAACAAACTAGTTTGCCAGCTTATTACCAACTGCTGCTTCCGTGACTGTAGCTGTGATTATGACTCTAACTGTAGCTATGGATGTGGTTTGGCTGTTAGCAATATGGCTGTGAGTCATTAGTTTAAAATGTGTGTGTGTGGCTGACTATGTCAAGTAAATTGTGCTGGTTGAGTACAGTATTAAGTTCCTACAGTTGTTGCTAACACATCTGTAATAGAAGGGCCACAAAGAATGGCGTACAGTTACAAATATTCATGCACACTATTTGATTGTACCAGCACTACTGCAATAGCCATGTCCTCAGGCAACACAACTTGTCAAAGCATGGCCTTTTAAAATGAGTGATGTGTCAAGTGTCAAGTCACCAGTTCTTTTTCTAGTCTCTGTTGAGGGTTTCCCTTAACTGACAGTGTAGATTAATTGTATTGTGTGTTATGCAAAGCAGGCGAACAAACATCTTTTTCCCATTCACTTGCAGGAGGCCCAGGCTGAAGCTCAAACCCAGCCCGAGTCCCAGTCGAGGCCCCAGGTCAACCCATCCGAGCTCGCTCCACGTCTCTGCCACCTGGTGCGGTCAGAGATGGGCTACGGCTTCAACCTTCACAGTGATCGGTCGCGGCCCGGACAGTACATCCGCTCCCTGGACCCCGGGTCACCTGCAGACCGTGCCGGGCTCCAGCCTCAAGACAGACTCATAGAGGTGTGGAGTCTTTGTATCTGTAATATTACTCAGAAATGTAAAGTGCAACACATTACTTGTAACTGTTCTTGAAAGCAATGCAGTAATGTTACTTAATTACTCACTACATGAAGTAATCTGTTACATTACTCTATAAATGACCTGAAATGCAATGTTGTATAGTTACCAGTTCCACAGACCACGCAAGTAACTATTCTAAACAAGATGCACACACAGTCTTTCTTTCAGTTTTGAATGCATGACCATAAAAACCAGAAACACAAAGCAAATCTTTTCTTTGTGTTGGTGGTTTTGCCGCCCCTCCCTTTAGACTTCAAAGCGATCGTCATGGTGATTCTACTGTAGATGTACAGGTAGAAATGGAGGCTGCAGCTCCGACTGACGCCCGTTGAAGTTCAGGGCCTGGTTTGCTGGTTTGGAGTTGCCATACGTTCAGCTTTAACATCACTCTGGGTTCTATCTGTGTTAGTAGCATCATCCAGTTTGTCTGTCCTGGACTCACTTTGCATTTCAACATCTTGTCCTTTCGTGCAATAAAAATAAAGTTAATCTTCAGTCCTCAAAAGCTGTAGACCTCTCCACCATTTACCTCCTCCAAGCCCAACATGCAGATGACTGAAGAACCAAGTAACACAAGAAAAACACATAAGTATTATTGTAATGTAATTACTTAATTTACTACAACAACGTGTTACTGAAAAGTGTAATGTGATTACAGTAATTTGTGACTTGGGAACGCACTACACACGGCACTGAATATTATATACAATTCAGTGCAATCCAGAAAAATCACATTGTCCAGTAAATTTTTCCTCTTTAAAGGTAGGAAAGTCCAGTTTTTACAGGTGTATGTGTTTGTGAAGAAAATTAAGTTATTCAGACATGAACAGTATGATGACAACATCCCTGACCATGTGAGATTTTGAAATTGGTTAACTGGATATAGCCTAAGTTGAAGGTTGTGCACAGTCCCCAAACAGATACTTTTAGGACATTGATAGACTTGCATGCTGAATGAGTGAAGTTAGTAAAGTTTAGCAGGTCAAAGAAGTGTCCTTAAGCAATCTAAGGTGCAAAATTTCCAGAACAACATATTAAGTAATTATTGTGTGAGAGGTTTTTTGGCGTGGGCACAGCAGACCAGAAAAACAAGTGAGGATATTTTAAAGCACGTAGACGCACACTGATGAGTTAATTACTGGTGATGCATACTGCATTCCCGTCACGGAAGATTATAAGAACTCCAAAAGGCCTCTTTCGTAAGAAAATCATACCAAAACACTTCGCATGACTTTCTTCGTAGCTGTTCCCTCATCACTAGAAGCAGATGGGTGACTTTACATTATGTTTGCATTTGAAAAAATCCATTTGATTTAGAGTATTTGTACACAAGACATTCGCCACCTTATCGGAAACATTCAAAATTCAGCAATAAACCATTTTAAATGGTATAAAATGGAGATTTTTCATTAGTTGTTATTTTTAAACAAAGGCTTCAGGATTTGAGAGCAGTCTCACACATGTGATCAAATACAGATGTGACCCTGGCTGTAATTAAAACGGCGGGCGTTACACGTTTGTGTTTCTAAGGATAACAGGACCTGCAGCCTGAACTCGAGCTTCACTGTGTCAAACTGGTGAGGCAGAGCAGGGTGGTCTCAGGGGAGAGGAGGATCTGCTATAAATCACTTTGAGCTGAGACACGAAACAATACGGAGCGTATACGTGCTCCCTCAATAACATGTAGAAAGAAACTGAGTGAGGTGGATAGCAAAGAAAGAATGCAGCAGAAAATGAAGATGCATGTGCAAAAAAGAAAAACAACATAATTATTTCAGATTTCCACCGGAGTGAGGAAACTGGTTAGAAAGTTCACGGATGTTTGGTGAACTTTCCCCTAGATTAACCAAAATCCACGCTACTGAAACATCATCATCATTATAAGTCGTTCTTCATCGGAGTGTACACACTCACACAGCATTCACCCTCCATTCTCATGACCTTTGACCTCTCCGGCTCTATATCAGGGTTGAGACTAGAGTGCAGCACATTACATCAAACAGGACTCCAACAGGCTCTGATAGAAAAGTTAAACGAAGCTAAAATCTAGCGAAACATACTGATGCTTTTGTAGCTCCTGGTTTCAGTTGATAGCTCGCAGATATACTTCCTCCTAAGTAAATAAGGTGGTGTATTACGATGGGTAGAAGAGTTAGATGAAGAGAGCCCCATCAGCCAGTTAGCAGTTATGACACATATTTAATTTGAATGTACTGGCAATCCTAAGCATAAAAATCACAATATGCCATTAGAGCAGATTCGGTGGTGCAGTTTTTTAGCACTGTCGCCTCACAGTAAGAAAGTTCTTGGTCAGCTGGGACCTTTGTTTATGGAGTTTGTATGTTCTTCCAGTGCCTGCGTGGGTTTCCTCCAAATGCTCTGACTTCCTCCCACAACCCAAAGACATCCATGTTGGGTTCATTAGTGATTCTAAATTGGGTGTAGGCGTCAGCGTGAATGGGGGGGTCTGCTTTTCTGCGTTAACCCTACCACAGACTGACAACCCATGTCTCTCTCAATCGAGCCCTTCCACAACCTTAGTTGGAGTTTAAGGAAATGCATGGATATTCCAGAATGCTTAAAGTGAGTTTTGCCCTTTTTCTCCAGTCTTCATGCAAACCTAAACGAGCAGAGCAGAGTTGCTGTTCACCAAAGTTAGCAAGAGGCGAGTTTGTGCTGGCAACGTGCTTATCATTAGAAAATAAAGTGCGCTGATGCTTCACTGGAAAATTAGATGGCTGGAGAGAGAGTGTGGGAACATCCTGTAGCAGGTCAACGAAGGCACTGACTGTCCTCCACCTCCCTTCTCCATGGAGACAGAAACCGAGGGACACTCACAGACATGAACATTCATATACAGATGAAGTTGAATGGTACTCAACCTTACTAATTTAAAGCGCTTGAGTGAAATTATGAATACGTATGCATATGCAGAGTAAAGAGCAGGGTTAATTGGTATAGAAATAACACGGCCAGTATTGTGGGCTTATTCAGAGCAGAGAAAAAGTTATTTTTAATTTCCTGTCAAATTCAGTGTATGAGTTGTTTGTGGATCAGCAAATCTGAGTCTTTGTGAAGTTAGTTGGCTGCTGTGTGAGTTAGTGTGGGAGAGCACCCTGATAATTACAGCCGTCTCTGACCATGCATCAAGATGCGCTTGTGTTATCTGTCAGCAGCTTGTTAGAGAGGTGAACAACCATGACAGATCTCTCTTTCTCCATCTCCCGGCGTCTTTTTCTCTCACTACGCCCCATTACACAGGACGCGTGTTAAGACTATGATGAGAGCTCAGCTTTCTGCCCATGTCTGGCAGAAGCCCTGACACCAGTGAACGCCTCATCAGTCTCTGCGCCAACTGCCTCACTCAGTTTTTTGCTGCATATAGATAGGTGCAGCCTCATGGACCTCCTAGTTTGCCTATAGTTACTCATTTAAAATGGAAACGCAGCTATGTGTGCCTTCTTGACTCCCACACCATGTGCAAGTTTGATGTGAAGATCACTGGTGGAATCTTACGCTCTAATTCCTGGTAGAAGATTTCTATTGGTGTAACATCACTACAAACTTGTGTCCATGGAACCTGTTAAATTCCCTGATGAAGGCATTGGAGTTTTCTATGTTGAAAATAAAAGTAAAGGTATTTTAAATGTGATTCAAGTTGCTGTAAGGAACGCTTACACTACTATCCTAACAGAGCACTTTGCACTTTGCTCCTAGTCAGATCCTTCAGCTTTCAGGCCCTTTCCTGTAGAAGCAGCTCCCAGTTTGGTTTCAGAAGGCAGACCAGTAAGGCTTAAAAACTTCCTTTTAGATCAAACTTAGTTTCAGTTATGTTCCACTAAGGCTTAGACTTCACTCTTCGTATGTTTCTTCTCTTTCCCCTTATCCTCCCTCTCTGAGTCTGGAACTGCTGGAGGTTACTTCCTGTTCAAAGGGAGTTTTTTCTTTCCACTGTCACCAAGTGCTTCTTCAAAGGAGGTCGTCTGATTGTGGAGGTTTTCTTTTCGTTCTAATATTGTAGATGTAAAACACCTTGAGGCAAGTGTTTTTCTATGGTTTGCAGCTATATAAACAAAACTGAGTTGAATGGAACAATTGAAATGATTGTTTAGCTGGTAAACTTTAAAAATTGTTGTTCTATGTAAATTACATTAACATCTGTTACAAGCATGACTTAATCTGAGGCAAAATACTTGCAAACATTCATCTAAATCACATTTCATGCTTTGTTTGTTTGTCCGGCATCCCCTCCTGGGACTCTGCGTGGACAGAAGTGTTAAAAGTCACTCACAGTATCACATGCGTCATATTCTCAGATGTGTGGATGCATTTAAAATTGTTTGTTTCGATCAGTCCAAGGTTAGACCCACATGTGCAAATAGCATGAAAAACGTGAACTGCAGGTAGCAGGACCTCAGAAACGCACAGTCAGAGTATCAAGAGGTCCCACAAGGGTTTGTCCCATGAGAAATAAGCTTCTGCACGTTTCTACAGCCTGTATTAATGAGCTCAGTGGGCAAAGAACAGAGTGTATTGTCTTGTGTGGGATGGACTGTTAATGAAGTCTGTGAAACATGACACAACACCTGTTGTTTGGCCAAATACAAAGATGTTTGTTCTCTCGGATTCAAACTGTCTGTCTGTCCCTCTGGCTGACATAAGTCCTGCATTTGTGATTTTTTGATGTAGAGAGGTTCACATTTTTCCATCTGTTGATCCTGCTCTCTCTACATTTCATTTCCATCTACTCTCTTTGCCCTTCCCTTCATTTTCTGTTTCCTGGTCTGTCATATTGTACCTTTTTGTCTACAGTTTTATTTTTTAAAGCTCAAATTTTCCATCCTCCTCTATCATAAGCAGTGAAATTTTACACAAATTTCCCTTCAGTACACTGACACCTGAAACTTGCACTATAGCCAGAGCCAAGGAGAGCCATCAATAATTGATTGTGTACCGACACTAACTCGGCATGCCGCGACTGCTGCCTTTTGAGAAGCCACGGTCTACTCAAAGTTTTCAAAACACAGCATCTAGATAAGATGAGGCAACAACAGACTGTTGTGTTATGCAAGTGAAGTGTAGAAAGCAAGGGCGACGTCACACAAGAGTAGATGTGGATGTGTGCTTTCCACACTGTTACGTCACGCTGCATCCATGGCCACACGTACGTACAGATGTAAAGAAAAAAGCTTTGCGTTGCAGAAATTCAAAAGGTAGTAGAATTGTTGCATTTTTCAGGCCCCCTGAAAAATAAACTCTGTGCAATTAGTTTGTGGCTGCATGGCTCCCCCTGCTGTTTGAATGAGGTAGCACAGACTTCTATACTGTACTGTCCCTTAAAAACTGACATTTCAGCAGAAGTCAAAATACCCTAAATGCCATTCCTTTAGGCTAAAATTTTATGACTATTCCTAAAGTGACCCAAAATGACCCTGGGTCGAATCAAGGAAAATCATGTTTTGAGGGAGTCTTGAATCATCAAACTATACATGCCATATCTGTGTGTATTTTTTTTTATGGGACAGTGATGACAAAGTTGAATAAGGACCTCCACACTGTAATGAGGGCTGTCCGTGTTCCCATCCCATTTTCCCAGATTGCCCAAAAGACACTTCATGGGAGTGTAGATAACTTCATGTTGCTGGTTATAGTTACAGTTACTCGTGTAGCTGGGACTGTGACTGAGCATTAGCTGTTTACAAAACAGGTCTTCATAATAGCATGAATAGTAACTTACTCAAGGGTCAGAAGGTTAGCAGGTGTTCAGTACAAATTAGAGAGTACTATTCACTGTATAGCTAACTATTAAGAAATTCAGTTTAAAGCTGTCATAAGCCTGGATGGAAAAGTTAAAAAGAATAACATGTAAAAGCATGATTCTTTTAAACAAAATCAACCTT